CGAATTGCGGGATGGCGACTGCTTTGGTGTAAGTATTAATCTATAACAGATCGGATACACTCGTCTTGTTATATAATGTCATGATATAGAACTTAATTTCCAGAGGCGTATTTAGAGGGGGTGCATTGTGCCATGATGCCCCATCGCCACTAGAACCCTCTTAAATCCAAAAGGGAAGCCGAGGTGCTCGGATGCCCCCCCCCCCCCTCCCATGTCAATGAAATCCTGGCTATGCCACTGTTGATTTCACTTATGGTCCGAATGAAAATACTACGTAATATGCTGTAAGTGCAAAAGGTCGGAATGCCCTAATCGTATATGAGAAGGTGACGACCTCCCTTTTTCTCAACTATATGTATTTAGATGTTTTTGTTACCTAAGCGAATACGATAGGCTAGCTAGTAATTTGTTCGTATGAACTCCAAGACATTCTTTAAAGTAGAAAGGGGTGGACGCCTTAGAAATGTTCCCTTATTTTGTAAAATGAGTTCATAAAAAGCGGGAAAGTTGGGATCAAGGGAGATAATTCCCTATGTATTTTTACCATACGTTACCAACTCTTTATGTTGTTCTTTCTACACAGGAGGTTGGACTATTAGAAAGATGTAATAGAACTGCTAGTGTTATCTGTAAAACTGACTGTCAGTTATTACTGATATTACAAGATGATTTTGACAGGTTAATACGCCAACCTTTGATGAAACAAAAACAGGAACATATCGATTTTTGTCGGTAAGTACTAGAAGTTATTTGTGGTTTTTTTTCGACTTGTCTGCAATATCTCGAAATGGTAAAGCGACAACTTAAGCTTTGAACCCAGAGATTGCTTTATCAGTCTTATTATGGCATATCTGACCTTGCTTGGGTATCAATAAATATACCAAATAATGAAAACTGCTTATATGACAACAAACCCAGTTACAGAATGGCAGCAGGTGTTTTTGAAAAGTAAGCATTTTCTGCATCGATATAGCTATACCCTCTACTGTAATTTTCAGCTTAATGCGATACAGTTTGTGGACATGAACTCAAAAACTACAGAAATCAGAAAATATCTCTTGAATCGTTTTTTTTTTCAGAAACATAAACTTATTTCAACATTTCCCTTGTGAAATATTCTCATCTCATCCAAATGAATTTTTTTACCAATACTTTCCGTGAGTATGATATATTTTATGATTAGTTTTTGAAATTATGTTCTATAAGCTTATAAAGAGAAATAATTCATAAAGGATATTACAATCTGAAATACAAAAACGCCTGTCGTCGGGGGCATTACAGAGGCCAAAATCTGATGTCCGCTTAATTTCATATATTTTGAATTTCAGAAAAGATTCTGTTATTACAAGTGAAGCTGGGGATTTTAAATATTTGATTGTCATTATGACAGTAAGTCAACTTTTCTGGAATAACAGGAACTACAGTTTTCTGACAGAACTGTGCAAGCAGAAGCATATAAGTACATACAATCCCTTTCAAATAATGATATTTAGAACGACTATTCTGAGTGGCATCTTCACAATGGTCAAGTTTGTAACTGCATCGAATTGATTGGATTGTACGTTAGTGAATGTACGTATCCGAGTACCGACAGAAAGTGTTTATAGTCTTTCTGTTGTGGGCTCTGATTGGTTTGTATTTACTGACGTACAATCTAATCAAATCACAGCATGCGTAAAAAAGAAAGGTGGTTATTGCAGTCAAGGTATGATATTGTGAAGATGTGGGTTATGCAGAGCTCAATCTTACTGCCATACTGTTGTGAACTAGATTATAATTAATTTATAATTCAGGGTAAATGTAGATTAGTGAGTTGTATAGAAGTAGATAAGAATGGTGATATTTCTTCAAATATTACAAGTAAGTCATTTCAGCACATTTTCGCATAAGACTTCATCCATCATGAGACTGGATAACGTGAGTCTTAATGCAGCAACAATGCCATTATTTCTATAGTAAACAAATCTCCTTTGTAAAAGTAAAACAGGAGTGTTATATGGTTATGCTGACCATTATGTTATCCAGGGTCAAATAAAAAGAACAGTTTTAAAACTAGAGGAGATATAGAAGTTTTAACTCAGAAATTACCACCAATCAAGAGAGCTAGGAGTAGCTCTGTTACTAAAGATACAACTTTTCAACAGGTATAATATCACCGTATTATCTAAAACGTGTCAATTCAGTGATTTTTATACGCCAACATGGAAATGTGGACGTATATTGCCGTCGCCCCTGTCTGTCGGTCCGTCAACATTTCTTGTGAACACAATAGAGACTACAGTTTTCAACTGATTTTAATGAAATTTGGTGTGATCATTTATATTGATGAGATCTTGGTCAAGTTCAAATTTGACGATCTTTTCATGAACGGTTTTTGAGTTATTGCCCTTGACTTAGAAAAAACGCGTCAAAATTTGTTTGTGAACACAATAGAGACTACAGTTTTCAACTGATTTTAATGAAATTTCGTATGATCATTTATATTGATGAGATCTTGTTCAAGTTCAAATTTGATGATATTTCGATGAACGGTCTTTGAGTTATTGCCCTTGACTTAGGAAAAACGCGTCAAAATTTGTTTGTGAACACATTAGAGACTACAGTTTTCAATTGATTTAAATGAAACAAGGTGTGATCATGTATATTGATGCGATAATTTGATGTATTTGGGTTATTGATATTGATTTTTAAAAATTTTGTGGAATTTCTCAGTATAAATAACTGGCAGTAGATATATATATCATTGAATTCAAACTATTAAAATTTCTTTAATATGAGAAAATTCATACTTTAGTCACTGAAGACTGTTTTATCATTTCTGACAGCTGCCAGTGGGCGTATGTTACCTTGCCTGGCAAGCTATCTCTATGATTTTTGTACCATGGCGCTCTAAGAATTATGCGTCAGAAAGTTCCTAAAATACAATATTCAAAATTAGCAGGGGAGACCCTTATAGGCGTATGTGCTTTCATACGCTTCCACAGAGCTGCTGTATCTCCACCTCGAAAATTGTCCCGTCATTAAGTCAGACTGTCCATTTTTGTATCCCCGATCTCGAGATTCTGTATCGCCACGGCACCAATGGGAGAAAAAGA